GTCTGAATGTACAGCCCCCTAGGTCTTAAAGGCATATGTCTCCAATGCTGGCTTTATCCCTGAACACACAGAGATCTATGGGATTAAAGGCGTGTGCCACCACCGCCACACTCTGTCTATGGCTCTAATAGCTCTGACCCCCGGGCAACTTTATTTATTAACATACAATTAAAATCACATTTCAGTACAATTAGAATACCACCACAAGTTAAAAGAAGGAAATAAAGAAAGAAGGAAATGAAAGGGATATAAATAGGAAAAGATGAAGTCTGACTACTCCCATCTGCATATGACATGACCCTGTAACTAGAAGACTCTAGAGATTGTACCAAAAGATCTTTAAACTTGGTAAACAAATCCATCAAAGTAGAAGGATACAAAACCCACATACAGGAGTCAGAAGCTTCTCTGTATCCCAATAATGAACTCCATGAGAAAGAAATCAGGAAAACAACTCACTCACAATAGCTCAAAGAGAACAAAATACTTAGGGATAAACCCAGAAGGAGAAAATCCTCTACTGTGAGACTGCTGAACACAGAAGAAAGGAGCAGGAGGTCAGCAGAGCGGATATCCTTCCAACGGCCACATTACTGCAAGTGATCCTTCAATGAAATACCATCAAAATACCACTAGCATTGGCATTTATCATAAAACTGTAAAATATCCTGAAATTGAATCAGAGAAGAGCTTGCATAACCAAAGTAATCCTAAGCAGAATGAGCAACATTGGAGCTTTCACAAAACCTTATTTCGGATTAAACTGCACAGACACAGTAACAAAATAGCATGGTACTGGCATAAAACCCAACATAGACCAACAGAATACAATAAAGGGCCCAGAAATCAACTCACATAATTACAGCCATGTGATTCTTGACAAAGGGAGATGTCAGCTTCTTCAACAAATGGGTGGAACTGGAGACTGTCATTAGGCAAATAATCCAGACTCAGAAAATGGGAATCATGTGTTTTCTCTCATATATGAAATTTTGGGGGAAAGAAAGGGCATGGAAGAGAAAGGAGGACTATTTGAGACGTATGAGGATAATGGAGAGAGAAACAGGGCATAAGAGCAATGGAGGGGAAATGACATTCATATGTATATATAAATGGCATTGGGGAATCTATCAGTATGTATAATTATATGCTAATATATGAGAAAAATTTTAAAAACTACACAGGCATCATGGTGCATGCCTTTAATCTCAGCATTCATGAGGCATAAGGCAGGTAGATCTCAGTGAGTTCAAGGCCAGCCTAGTTTATACAGGCCAGCCAGAGATACATAGTGAGACCTTGTCTCCAATAAAGAAATACATTTTCAAAAATAAAATTAAAACAAAGAAATCAACCTAAACAGATATGCATTTACCTTCTGAAGCCCAAATCCATAACACATTCTATAAGAAGACTGGAGCAGGAAACATTAATGGGACACAATTTGAAGCAATAAAATGTCTATGTCTATGAAGCAAAAAAATAAAATAAAATAAAATCATGTTTCTCTGTGGTTGGAAATGGGCATTGCCATGTCAGTCACATCATTTCCACAATAAACAACCGTGAGACTTTGGAGCATTTCAATGGGTAATTAGTCATTCTTAGTCTACACTTC